TATTTATCATGCAATGCAAGAAGAAGAAAATAAGAGAAAAGCATAAAGAAAATATCTAAGGTACGGGAGTTGGTTATACAAAGGGAAGATATTAGTATCCTATGTATCTATAGTACTCTATAGGAACCTTTTGTAATATCTGTTTTTTTTTGGTTAAAATTATTTGCTTGAAAAAAGAGTGTAGAGATGAGAAAAATAAATGTTTTTAATTATATTTTTGTTTGGAAAGACATAAAGTTTATACCTACGTACCAATGAAGGACCAAAACCTCGTAGTTCATGGTAAAAATAATAAAATATTTATTGGTTGATTTTAGGAGAAGAGACAAGTTGTTATCTTAAAGAGAATACTCAACTAATACCACCACAAGTATGAGAGGTGGATCTTGCATCATTATAAGGGAAGGGCTCCTAACTTGAATATAAGATCAACAAGTTTCCATTAGATCAGTTAAATGGAAGGAATCACATTTACTTCAAAATTACTATGGGAATATGAGGATTACATCTTAACTATAAAGATGACTCATGTCTAATCTCTTTGAGAAAAGATTTTAAATTGAAAAGGAAAAATGGTGAAAAGATTTGGGTGAGGTTGAATCTCTTTTAGTCTTTTGAAATTGTTTAAATTCTTAAGTATATTGAAGTATTAGTTAAAGAAAGAAAGTTTTAAAATGCAATGATATAAAGTCAAGGGTTTTTTAATGAAAGACGTTTAAGTTTGAAATTAGAGTTTAGGTACAAAGGTGAACACAAACAATTACCAAGATGATATGAAAAAGACAAACACATAAAGATGAACCTAATATATATATATATATATATATAAACATGACTATTAAGTCAACAATACTATCTCTTTCCTTGGATTTGACACACGTACTAACACAAATGAAGTATAAACATCAATCATCATCACATAAAGATTTAAATTAATATCAAAGCAAATAAACATGCAAGCTTCATGAATTAGGATTTCACTCAATCAAAACATCAACCAAGACTTCAAAATAATAGTAAAGATTAACCAAGTATGATAAGAACAAAACCTAAATATTTCATTCAAAGTAACAAGACATTTTAAATCATGTTCATTTAATCAATACTTAATCAAAGTATAAAAATAAAATCACAACCAAGCTAATATATTAAAATATCATGGTATTTAAGAGAGTCATTTAAGAAAAATATTCACAAAAATTTAAAAGAAAACACTAAGATTTAATTAAACCAAGAAACTATTTTTTGAATTTTTTTAACACTTATGTAAACAAAATAAAATAAAATCAAGACTTAATTAAATAAAAGCAATAAAATATTTTTTTATGTTTTTTTTAATATTTAAATGATAAAACAAAAATCAAGAGAGAGTTTAAGGGAATGGCTAAAACTAAAAAAGAAAATAAAAGAAAATGAGATATAAAAACAATTAAAAGAACAAGTGGTAAAAAATTAGGATTTTATGGTCAAGGAGTGTAGAACTCAGGCCCTCACGCTTACCACTCAAAAGTTCTACCACTGGGCCAGCGCTATGGCCTGTAAGTATACATAACTATCAAAATAAATATGAAACAAGTTGGTGAATAGTTTTAAAAAAAATAAGTAAAAAGGAATGGGGTGAGGGGGATTCGAACCCCAAACCCTTCACTCCTCACACAAACACACAAATCAATACATTAACCACTAGGGTGCAATGTCATTTCGTTAATAAAACATGTACAACTAAATATATTATAAACTATCATTCAAAATATGAAAATGGCGCCACCCCAACTTCAATTTCTTCCTCGTGACAACAACAACAGTGGTGCAATTTCGTACTTCCTCATTTTTCAACTAATATTCAAAAGTATAAAAACCAAACTTGTTCAGAATTTAATGAGGATTTCAAAAGTATTCATATCATAAAATTTATATCAACTATAACTCACGAATTTCAATCAAAAGCAGAAATCCTAAGTTTTTTCAAAGTTAAATTAATGACAAACAAGTTCAACCAATGCCTATTTTCATATGACTTTCATTCATGGAAATGAAACAAGAAGAATAGTATCAAGAAATGTTTAAAATGATGCTTGTATGAATGACTTCGAAATCAAGAAAAATTCACCTATTGGAGAAAATTCCAATTCCTTATTCAAGCACCTTTAGTGATAACAAATGATCTCTTTAGCTCGTATGATGCCTCAGGAACACAATGCAACACTTGATTTATTTTGAAAGTGTCTCAAACTCTCTGGCTAAGTTCACTTATGATGATGAATGAGCAAAGGTTGGATGGAGCAATGAAGGTTTTCCAAATGCAAACTAATACATTCAGAAGGTTATATGTGATATGTAGATGGTGTTTGAGTGGTTAGTATGCAAAGAACTTTCAAGGTTTGAGAGATTAGAAGAAATGGACTTTGGTGTAACAATGGAGGTTTGAGACTTTCTCTATGAGTTTGTGAGTGTTTGAGAGGAGGTTTATATGTTAATGTGTGTCTTTACAATGAAATGAACTCTCTATTTATAGAAAAAGTTGAGAGAATGGGAGCTGATTAGGTTTTAAGGTTTGCAAGTTCATTGTTTGGTTCAAATTCAAGTGGAAGCTACATGCATCATGGTAGTTCCAATGTGATTGGAGGAGTGAATTAAGGGAAATATGAATGCTTTTTTGAGTTGTAGGGGATGGCTTCTGAGATTAGAGATAAGTTGGAAGCTCTATGAAGAAGTTGTTGGCAAAAGTGTATCTTTATCAAAATGGAAGTCAAGCTTTATGCAACTTCTTCCAAAAGTGACATGGTGAATTGGATAATGGCTCAATTCCTTGTGTAATGCATCAACGGTTTGTGTAAATCATTGATTAAGCAGAGATTTGGAAGCAAGAGGACCTGTAAAGCAAGATCTTGTGTTTAGGTTTAGGTTTAACATGAACTTTGAACCAAAAATATGCCTTGTAAAATATCTTCACCATGACTACTCCGTATCTTCAAAACTCCTTGCTTAAGTAAAAGAAATGCATGCTCTTGGTACCATTAGAAAGATGAGAGCATCTTTTATAACTTTCATGTTGATTGATTGGCTTGAATCAACTTGGATCATGAAGAAAAACGCCTCACAAAAATGGAGTTTCAAGCTGAAAAAAACTTAGAGATTTTTTTTAAGTCTGTCATTTTGACAACTTTGAGACCTCAACTTCAACACTTCATATCTCTCAATCCTTGTGAGTTTTTGAGTCAATTCCTTCTACAATGCTGAAGTATGTAGGATCATCTTCAAGTACATCCTTTAGGCATGAAAAATGATTGCTTTAGGAAGAAGTTACAAGTTGGAAAGTCATGCACTTGAGCATGATATTTTTGACACTTAGTGAAAATTTCAATATATTCAACTTTACCCTTTTTGCAAGTTCCCTCCAATTTTGTGATTTCAGTTGATCAAATTCAAATATCAATCACATTTTCATGAAATTTAACATGATGAGTCCATATTTGACTAAAAATCTCATAAGTCAAAGCTTGACTTTGAGCAGTTGACTTTTCCAAATGAATTCAAATTTTCCAATTTCAATGAGACCTTGTGATCATAATGCAATCTTAAATACATTGAGGTATCTTGAGGACTATGAGGTGATGATGTTGAAGACCCCTTGAGTGATGTACATTGGAGAACAACCTTCAAAACCCTAATTCCTAATTTTCAACTAAGGGTGCCAAAAACCCTAATTCTCTTCAAGCATTTGATGAATCCATGATGAAACCCTAATGTGGTGAGATTGTGATGAAGATAGTAATCACGAGTGAATGAGAAGTTTGAATTATTGAGGAATCCATATGTCTTTGATCAATCCATTATTTGTGATTCTTGTTCCAACACACCTATTTTGTACAAGATATAAACAAAACAAGACAAACCCTTGCTCTTTTATGAGGTTAGTAATACCATGATGAATGACATGATTCCTTGATGTTATGTAATAGTGCAAAAAGAAATGAAATCTTAGATAAAAAATTAGGGTACAATAATTGACATATACTTTTAAATTTTTTTTGCAAAAACTCAAAATTTGTATTACATTTGATTTATTTACTCAACCAAACTAGGAAGTGTATATTCAACACTAATATAAGAATAGTATGTACACATCTTATGGCATACTCTATAATATTCTCTACGCATAGCATATTAAGTAGATTATTCCTTAGCATAATCATTTATAATTAATATATTTTATTTAGCATATTAAGGATGTATTTGATTGAGCGGTTGACATAATTGATTCTATCAGAATTGAGTTTAGTAGAAGCTACCAATTTTGAAAGCAAAAGCTACAAATTAACTTTAAATTGAATCAATTTTGGATGTAGAATCGATTCTACCTTTGATAAAACAAACATCTTAAATTCACCAAAAATCAATTCTACACCTCTAAAATTAATTATAAATCTTTCAAAAACCAATTCAAACATGCTATAAATAGATTATTGAGTGTTGAAAAGAGAATATTGTTATTATTCTATAGAATAATAATTAAACATCTGTCTCTCACTTTGAAAATATGTCCCACATAAAAAGCAAGACCCACACATATTTCAACTAATAAAAGACTATGTGTTTGAGAGTGTGTTTGAGAGAATTTAAAAAGAAAGTATTATTAACATTTCTCTCCTTTATAATTAATATCTTTATTGTAGTTTTCTTTTTTACGGGGTTCTTTATTGCATCATTGCCTATGTAACAGAAATTTAAAGGTTCATTCATTCAACACACAAATTTGCAACATAAATAGACCGAATATAAATACATTATTTACAACAGAAATTTGCAATTTGCAATGCCTTTCATTTGCAATATCAATGAATTGGTGATAAGTTGACAGTGAACAATTTATATGATCCCCTAAAGGGATGAACATTTGAAAATCCTAACCATCATCAATGAATGGAATGACTATTCTAAAAAACAATTTAAAAAAAAAATCAAAAACTATATGCTGTATGAGTGAGCCAAACAATGAATTAGCGAATTTTACTATGGTCAACAACACACTCCTCTAAAAACTGATTGAGCTGAGAAGCATACAATTTCGGGTCATTTCGAAAGTGGTCAACATGCGGTGAAGAGACAAAATTGCAAGCCCTCACATCATGTCCAGCCTTCCGCTGTGCATCGACAAACGACTCCACTGAATCGGCCGGAATAACTCTGTCTGCAGAGCTATACATGTACAACTGTGGACAACCTGGTTGCTTTGTAGATAACATGCTCAAAACATCTGAGAGCCTCCTGCATTTGGACAAGATTATTATAGTTAGGACTGTAACTATCCACATACTATAGTAGTGTGCGTGCGATAAGAGTCAAAGACGAGTAAGGTTTGGTATGAACTATCATCGATCCTTAAAACAGAAATCCAGTAGAAGAAGAATGATTTAGGAGTCATTACCTATTCACTGCAGGGAGATGCAGAACGACCTCGAAAAATTTCTTTAGTATTAACAGCAAAGCTGCTTCTGTTGGTGCAGGTTTTGGTCCTAAATTTTCGCTGCCAATTGATACTTTAATGCCAGACTCATCCGTGGATACACGTCCTTTTGTAGCTACACTATTCTTCTTGAGAAATGCAGCAGAGAAACCCGAGGCCCAGACCTGAAAAGATAATCAAACAATTTACATCAGAATTTAGCATAAAAGTTTAACATTTGTCACAAAACCGGGTTAACATTCCTAGCGCTAAAGAATAAAATAAACAGCATTGGACACTAAATGCACAAGATATGACAGTGTTCCCCGAGTCTGAAAATCGCTAAAACCTTTACCTGTGGGTCAGCATTCGCAACAGGTGCAGAATCTACAATGCAGCCCCTAATCTTTTTCATCAAAGAAGGGTCTTGCTTTTGAAAACGTTCTAAGATAACACCATACCTGAAAAAATGTAAATAAAAACACTCAAGCAACAAGCAACAGAAAAACAACATCAACAATGAACAAAATCGCACTCACGTTAACCATCCAGTGTTGCTGAAAGTATGAAACACAAGATTCTTTTCATTCTCCTCTTCTAACCAATCAGCCAAGTGATTAACAAGCATGTGAACATTTTGCTCCGCTTTTCCTCCAGGCTGATAACTCATTACCTCACTCATCGGAAACGTAAAGGTAATGACATGATATCCCTTCGAAGTATACCATTCTGCATACTTCTTTAAATGCTTCTGCTTTGCACCTAACCATCCAAGCAAAACCACCACCGTCTTCGATTTCGCAGATAAACCACCTACAGTATTAGGTTCAGGCAAATGCCATTTATACATGAACTCAGAAGTTGAATCAGAAACACCGTTCGAACAAGACGACCTCGAAAACCTAGAAAATTCAGCAGAACGATACAAACTCCGAACAACTGGCGATGAACAAACCGAAGAGTTATACAAATTTGATCCCAAAACAGGAACCCGAAACTTCACATTAGGAACCGGAACCCGAATTTTGTTGACAAAATACAACTCAGCAAGTTTAGAATCAGAAATACTATTAACCATCAACAAATGTGATTCCTGCAAAGAGTTAAAACTTGAAGAACATTCCAAATTGGAAGTGGAACAATCACGAGACGACGATCCAAGGAATGAAAACTTATCAGATGCATCAGTAGAGAAAGAAGCAACCGCAACAGCAGCAGCAGCCACAAGAGGTCTCTGAATTGGTCCAGGAAAATAACTCATTGCAGAAACCTTCAACCCTCGACCCTTAATATTATCACAACTATCAAAAAAATACAGAGAATGAAATTGGCAAGACCCAGAATGAAAATCAAGTGCAAAAATGTAAAGTGATTGCAAAGTTGAATGCTTTAAGGTAAACAAAAAGAACCCAATACAGAAAAAAAATTGAGGGTATAATTCGAATCCAATAAATTAGGAGAAACGCAACAATTAATAAAGAAAAAGCAAAGCAAAGAATAATAATAAGAATATTCTATTGAATAGGTACCTGAATGTGAATATGTGAATGGGGCTGTCAACGAAAACGACACAGGACGATGTCGTTTTGAGAAGACAGCCCTGTTGGAAAAGCGTGTGAAGAAACAAAGGAACGAGGAATGCTTCACCAACCCAGAAGCAATTTTTTTTCTTATTTCTTTGTTTTCTTTGGATGGTTGGAATAAAAGGGAAGAAATTAACAATGGGTATTTTTCAAAGAGTTTAAAATAGTTTTACTTGTCAACCAATAAAAAATAAATAATTTATCATGTCATTTAATTTTTTTAAAAATAAATATGTGTTTTAATTATAAATATAATTTGTGATTGATTGACAGTTACACTGTCAGTACATCTAATTTGGAATTATTTTCTATTTAACGTAAAAAATTGCAAGAATTTAGAAACTATATGATAATAATATTTGGAATTTTTTTTATTTTTTATTTTTTTATTGGGATAAAGTGAATGGAGAAATTAATTTGAGACACGCGTGATTTGAACCGTCCAACGTGACGGATGTGAAGTCTGCTGTTGTGATAAACTGAGTAACCGAAAAGTGTAAGGTTCCTAGAAAATGGAGAACTGGAAAGACGATTTTACCCTGGTAAAGTATGCTAATGGTAATGGATTAAATGGGTATTTTATTAGGAAAATTATTTGGATTTTATTGACAAAATCTTATTTTAACTTGATTTAATAATCTTGATTTTTTTTTGTTTTGTTTCAAAATACAATCTTATTTTGAAGATTTTTTAGGTAATGCTGACTTGTCTCCAAGTTAAAAAACTCATAAATAAAATTTGTATTAATAAACCCATAAATTTTAATGTTATTTAAATATTTTAAATTTTTTAAAAGTGAGTAAAACTTAAATTATTAAGATTCAACTGGTCAAAAACATGTGTTTCTTATCCTGTATTGTTGATATGGTTTAATTAGTATGGACATTACACACATTGGTCAGTGTTATAATTGATTTTTATTTTTATTTATTGATTTGATAATTGATAATTTATATTCTCTTTAATTATAATTATGAAAAAAAATTATTTTATATTAATTAAAAAAATTAGAGAATAAAAGATATACACCGACAGTGTCAATCAATTGTAATCATCTTAATTGTTAAGTATCAATTTTATATTCTTGATATATTATCTATTAACTCAAAAAGTTAATTAAATATAATTTTTTTTATTTCTTTCATGTACAATCAAAAGAAAATATATTATAATATTTTTAAACAAAATATTTATTAGCAAGAAAATAAGAAAGCAAAAAAAATAAGAATTAAATAGCAATCATTTATTATTACTACTACCACATGATTCTTATTAAAAAAGAAATTAAATTTAAAATAAATTTAAAATTATCCTCTAAAACAATGACAAGTATACATTATTGCCTTTTTTATTCAAATTATTCTTACTATATAGTATTATTTTATTTTTAATTGTATTTGATGAATTAACTTACAATGTATTTTGGATTGGACTGACACTTGTCCCACCGTTGGAGAGACTCAATCCAGCGCCTTTACCAAAGGCTCAAAAGCACGTAGCCTAAAATGAGAACCGTTGGACATGTTCCCACGTGTCCACTAGGAGAATGTGGCTTATGTGTCCATATTATCGTCATCCTGCCCTCCGAAAATAACAGATCTAGCTCTTGCTTTCCTAGGACAGTTAACTAGGAAGGAGGTCACGTGTTGGACTCCATACACACGTAAACCCTATCAGTCTTCGTTGTTGAGCCTCATCATGGCCAATCACTAAAGACTTTGGCCCAGCGTTGGGGCTATAAATACCCTCTCACTTGAGAGAGTCAGTATTCATTCATACTCTCATACTCATACTTGCTTGCATTTGCTCTGAACCTCACTTTGGCATTAGAGTATCTTGCAAGTACCCCCCATCCCACTTCACATCCAACCGCTGCTCGGCTCGAAGCTTGTGGGCTTTGACAATCCCTTATGCATCCTACAACTGCATTCTAGGAAGACCGACACTGGCTGAGCTAACTGTCGTGCCCTCCACTGTCCATTTGAAAATGAAGTTCTACACTAGGAGGGGACGCGTCGCCACCATCCACAGAGACATCTCAACTGCCATAGGTGTTTTCACGCGGCTTCCAAAGGGAAGAGCATGGTCGACACTGGAGCGCGGACCGCCAAAAGAACAACCACTACTCAACCTGAATCGCAGTCTGCTCGGACCAAAGAACAAGGGGCTCCACCAAAGGTCGACTCCATCTCGCTTGACACCCACTTTGACAAAGATGAATTCGAAGTCCCCAACGACAAACAAATATTTAACAAGAATAATAGGGGCAAAATAAAAGTATTTATAAATGTCGACCATGAAGGCCGATGTTGTTTAAATAATTATAAAATGTTTAGGCACGCAGACCACTGTTCCAAAATAAAGCAAAAGCGGGCACGTAGGCCTGGAAACATATCAAATCTCATATTCCCCATCACTCTCCTCCGCAGGACCGTCATCGGGGGGATAAAAAATCTTTCCATCAACCACTTGATTAAAAGGCCCCGCTCCTTCAACCACTAACTCGACCCCTGGGTTCAATATCTTGAGCTGATCCACGGCTGTGTTGAAGTTGTAACTGAGGGTATCCACGACATCTTGTTCGAGCATGCAACTTCGCATGATTCGATCTCTCCTGGTCACGAGGGCCTTCTCCGTGTCAGTCTCTTCGTTGGCAGGCGCCACAATCCCCTCCAACTCTTTTATCCTGGTGACCAGACGCTCGTTCTCCTTATTCGCGGACTCCAGCTGAGGCTGCAACCTCATTTAGATCTTTGAGGAGCTAAACCTATGCCTCATACTTTGTTTTGTGGTTGAGGATGTCGCCCTTTGGATTTTCATTTATCCCTTGAAGCTTCTAGATTCAGGCATAAACTTTGTCGAGGGCGACCTGAGAGCCCGCGACCTCATCATTCAACGTCAAAGCGGTTTCAAGAACCCTCATCACGACGGCCACATCGTCCGACAAATTTTTCTATCGAGTTTCCTTATCTTTGGACAAGATCGCTTCCCTTTCTTCCTCGTGAATCCCTACAGAACTTTCCCCGCTAAAAATATCACGGTTGAGATAGTAGGGAGGCAACACGAAAACTGCCCCGACTCCCTTGTCGCCTTTGGGCGCTACTCGCTCGGGATCCTCCGCGCGCTTCCTCTTTACCGGTGGCTTGGGAGGAGGAATTTGTGTCTTCTAAGAGGAAGGAGAACCATTCACTCGAGCAAAAGCTTTGGCCTGCTCCTGAAGTCGAGCAATCCAATTCTTGGGCCCCAAGTTGGATGCATTATTAGGCCTCAACTTTAGTAGACGCTCAGAGAGGGACGCCATCCGACCTTCGATCAAGAAGAAACTGTCAATTACGGGAAAAACATACAAAGATAATATCGCGGGCATGTCCCATGCATAAAAGCCAAATAAAGGCAAGATCATGGGTACATCCCCTACCTAAAAGCCTCAAAGCCTCCTCGTCTGAAGAGCATTCAAGCAACACTTTTATATTGATTAGTATGTGAACGAGGAGATACTCCCCTTTATCATCAAAAAGGAAGTTGTTGTCCACGTCCACACATCTCGCAGGTGAGAAAATATTGACATAAGCCACCAGCTTCTCATAGGAAAGTTGATCCTGGGCATCAAAGTCCTCAGGTTTTACCGCGTAGTACTCGGGCTTCTGCTCGAAATGTTTCCACTACCATTCGAGAGGAAATCTAGCCGTTAGCCGGACTACTGGCCGACCCTCCTCAATCTCTTCCGAGCGATCGTACAAGGAAGCCACAAACGCATCTATTAGAGGCTTCACGACGAAGTACTTCTCTTTGAAGTGGCGAACATATTTGAGATACGTCCGGAAAAGTTTTCCAAATTTTTTAAACGACACCCAGGCTTGTCCCCCTCTGATGGACTGCCTTTGCAAGTGAAAAATGCAGAAGAAGAGGGGCAAGGTGGCACCTATTTGAAGATATTGACATACGAGCTCGAATGCACCCATGAACACAAGCGCATTCAGATGAAGCTGGGAAGGTGCCAATTGTAACCATTGGAAAACCCCCACTTGGAAGTCATTGGATGGAAAATGCATACCCGCTTACTTAAAGGAAAATTCATACATGGGAAAGCGTTTGCCCAGGTATGCCGAGCATATCCTCCTATTTTGGTGAAGGATCTGAAGAGCCCAATTGGCGGGAGCATCCTCTGCTTGAACCTCTAGGTAGTTAAACGCATCAGAAGCATCCTACGAAAAACACGACCTTTTGTTCCTAGGCTCGGGTGCAACCCAGACCGAAGGGTCCTCCGCGACATTAGTTTCATTCTCGTGAGTGACGGGCACAACGTCTTCCTCGACTGGGTTTGCCATTATACCTGAAAAGGAGGGGAAAACAGTGAATTCGACATCATCAAATTCACCCTTCCACCGTAAATCAAGTGAAAAGGTGACGAATGCGTCGGGGAATAGACCTCGACCCAAGCCCTCGACTGACACACCAGAATAAACTACATCCTTCGCGGGGACATTTGGTAGAACGGGCAAAGCTTCCCAAGTCCACCCCACAATTTGGGGAGGATGACCCTGACACTAACCTATAAAGTTGGGCCTATGAACTTCTATCCATAGCCATGAACCTTGATGAACATCCATGAAGATTCACTGCAGAACCCATGGATATCCATCCAGGATTCATTAGTTCATGACAAAATCTAAGCCATTAATCTAAGAATTCTGAGAAAAACATTGTCAAGAAGATATGACTTACTTGGAAGAAGGTTAACTTTGAAGAATTCAACGATGGCGCTGGAACGGAGAAAATCCATGAGTGAACGAAGAAGAGTGAAGAAGAAAGAGCTTGAAAATAACAAATGAACCTCTGGGTTCCCCTTTTTATAGATGGTTCACACCCCACGAGGCAGCACGCGAAAATTCATCATTACTTTGGGCTTTTGAACTCCCTTGTGAAAAGTTGGCACCCCAAACAACTGCCACGTGGGGTTAATAAGAAGCCACGTATCCACTCTTGAAGATGAACTTGCCCCCAACTTTAATGCGTATACATGCTTCTTGACTACGTTTCACGCTTAGTGGCGGGCGAACATGACAAAGCCTTGCATACGAGAACATTCATACCATTTCATTCCCGAAGGTGGGGTAAACGCTCGACATCATGGCAACACCCTATAGAC